AAAATTAATGTCATATTCCCTACAGTCATATGGACTGTTGCAAACAAAATAAAATAAACTTCCTACAACTAAGATTTTTGCAATTCAATTACCCAATTTAAACATTTGAAAATGAATAAAAATTTAAATGAAAACAAAATGAAATAAACTATATCCTGTTTTTGTAAAGCAGTAGAACATGAAAAAGCAATGAAATATAGAATAACCTTATTTATATTAACAGCCGTAGCTAACATTATTTTTTATTATAACTACACTCAGTTTAAAAACAATTCAGTTTAAAACACTTACTGTTGTTCTAAGCATTTAAGAGTGTCATAAGTAATGTGTTAAAACCGTTTATATCTATGGTTAAAACAAAGTGATGTTGGCTAAACTAGCTAAAACAACGCTAATGCTAGCTAGTACATTAGCTAGCAAGTGTCAAGCTAATCGTGCGAGTAAATTACTAGAAATTACTATTTAATGTAATAGCTACTAACTTCCTGAATTTATAGCAAACAAATAGCATTACAGTAAAATTAATATTAATATCAAAGCTGTTGTGTTGTACGAAGATTAGCATTAGCCTAATTAGCGTTGCACTTACCGCTGTTTTCTAGGAACTTGAACTAATCCTAGCTCAAAATTGTGACGTTCATTGTGTTTTTACATTATGTCTAAGATTTTTTTTATATAATATAGTAATATTAATCGTAAATGTGTGTATAATTTTTGTTTCAGCAATAAACGGCTGAAATAATTTAAAAGACAATTGGACAAAATCTACCTACTTTATGAAGAGCGTAAATTTTGCCCCCGAGTTTGATCTGTGTACGCATGCGCAGTCAGAGTAACGCGCACGTGAATGCCCTTTTTACCAATTTAAAATATTAAGAATCATCCTTCAAAAGTGTTTACACCCGATCCTGTTTGAGTCATCCAGATCCAACAAGCAGTAGATAAAATGATCAGGAGCAAGTAAATGTAAACTTTTATTAATGGTTGATTTGGCTGCAATTTTTTTTTGTTTGTTTTTCATTCAAAAACCTTGGTCTTTTTTATTTTTACTGTTCTGTTTGTATTTCTCATTTATTTCACTACTGTTCACAAATGTTTTGTTAGACTTGTTAAAAATAGTAAAGTTTAAATTATTTCAAGCGTGCCTCAGATTAGCCTGGCCTTGGCGCTGCTGCCACCTAGCGGCGGAAACTACAAACTGCAACAGCTTGTTACAGATCGTTAGTTTGTGCGCTCGGTTTATCACAACTAAAAAAAAAACATTTAATCAATTAACCCTCTATGGCATTAAATTTTAGTTTATGAGGAAAAAAAATATTTCACCCTACTTTTGTGTGCTTGGTGGCGTTCTTATAATATATCAGTCAGAAAATGTGCTCCCGCCATCCCCAGATTTTGGTTTGTTGCCTCAGGGCAACAAGATGCTATGACGGTACTAAAACGCCAAGGTTTTCTATATTATTTAATAAGTGGAATGAGGAACAAACAAACAATAAATGCATTAGAAGAAGTTTTATTTCAGTAACAGCAACAATTTCAACACGTTTTCTTTCAACAAACAGCCACAAATGGTTTATCAATTAGTGCGTTAAAGATTAGCTGCAGTGTTTCTGAATGTGTGTTCCTGTGGGGTACTGAATGACCGTGTTTCTCTTTTTGACAAAGCACAGTCTGTATTATTCTGTATGGAACCTCATGAAGCAGTTGCTGGTAGATGTGAAACAGAGGTGGGCGTCACATTTTTGGCACTTGGCTTTAGGTGTACCTTTGCATCCTGGTACCTTGCATCTCCCTTTCTTTTCATCCATGACCATCTGTGGCATCCAGACGCACATCAGGGACCGGAATAGGTGTAGTGGGTCCTCTTCTCTTTTCTTCATACTCCCCAGCAATTGTGGAACTGGGACGACCTCTCTTACGCTCCAGATTCTTGCCACTTTTGCACAAGCTTTCTGTAATATATGACTTGAACGTATAAAGCCTGATCTGTTCCTCTTTTCTCATCCCAGTGCTGCTGCAGTCTCTCTTGTAGAGCAGCCAGGTAGTCACGATGGTCATGTCCATAAAGTGGAACATCAGCTGGTGGTACCACTTCTTCAACCTGATTTTGTTGCGGTACAGTGCAATGAGAGAGTCCAGCAGAACCACTCCACCCATATTCTTATTGTACTCTCTCACCACAGCAGGACAGGGAACTTTGATTTATTTATTTATTTATTTTTTTGGCTTGCCATCCCACCTATCAACGTCGATGATTGGGTGTGCTCCAGTGTAATTGTTGAGAAGACTGAACGGTGCACTTCACAGCATGCAAGATGGTTTCTCCAACCATGGCCGCCTTCTGTTCAAAAGATCCACGTCCAGTTCTCTTCAACTCAGCATCACACATCAAGTTGACGCCTGGTTGTCTGTTGCTATCAAACCTGATTCTGGAGTCCACTCTTCCTCACTGTCACTCTCCTCAAGTTCACTGTCGAACGGAACGAGCCTAACCGCTTGATCATGTTCCTTACACCCATAAAATGTTCTTGAATCCATTTCCTGTGAGTAATGGTAGATAGTACAGCAAAAAAAATCGATTATGTTGATAACTATGCATCCTTACACATCTCCATCCATAATCATGTTATACTGTAGTTCACACAAAAGTGATCTAACCGCACAATGTTGCCCTGAGGCAACGAATGAAAAACTGCCATTTTAGTATATAAATGAAGACAAAAAGTGTCTTTACTCAATCAAATATGCTTTTTCACTTATTCATGCACATCACATATATTATTTATACAAATTTATTTAAATTTAAACATGTTAAAAAGTTAAATTTATCTTACCTTCTGCAAGCAGTGTGTCGAAGTGGGCTGTTGACCGAAAAAGGACAGTTTCACCCCAAAATGAAAGGTCAAAGCCACGCCCAGCTCAAATTTCATTGGTCACAGACTTATCATCAAACTTTTAATTTGTTTTACTTATAAAAAAAAATTAAAAGTAGTGTTGTTCGATACCAGGGTTTTCTGGTCCGATACGATACCGTTAAAATCAATACAAGTATTGTGGTATCGATACGGATACTGATACTTTTGGCAAATATGCCTAATGTGTCAGGTAAACCTAAAAAAAAAGCAGTGTATTCAAATCAAAGTTGCATAAAGGATGCAAAACAAAATAATTTATTTATTTTAAACTCGGGATGTTGTCTTGAAACTACTAAAACATTAAATATATATATGTTTAAGATAATATTTTATATTTTTATCCATATTTTGTAGTATATATTTTCAGCGTTCACCAAGGCTGTTTTATCACCGTTGCTTTGTATAATTTGATGACATGTAATTCACTTTAAATTATCTATTCTTTATGAATGGGATTTACCTGTCTAAATAAAGGTTGAATGAAAAAAATCTTACCTGAATAAATCAGGCTTTTTTTGCCCATTATCTCATTGATACACCTATTACTCCAAACTGAACTCATGCAACTATTTGTTGAAGCATGAATTTATTTTTGTTAATTATTTCATAACCATATGTAATAATTTGAACAACTCCAACTGCAGCAGTTCTTACAGCTTGAAGCTCCACATTTCATGTACCTGGATAGTCCTGCAACCTTCTCCAGAGCAGCAGCAGCACCTGACTCTCCTTCTCTGTCCACCTCATCAAAATATGCCTCATATTCTGTGTTGTGATTTAACAGGAAGTGTTAAACAAGGTTTGTTGTGTTGCTACAGCTCTTTACAGATTTTCCACAAACCGCTTCTCGGCTGTTTCTGGAACTGAAATAGTTTTTCACATCTCTGTTAAACTCTGCCGCTGTGTCTACAGACTGACGAGCAGCGCCCCCAGTGTTGCCAGGTGAGAAATGTAGGATTATCGTACTAGAGACATAAAATAATCGTATTTTGAGGGAAATTATCGTACACCCGTCAAAATCAAAGTAACAAATCTATTAATGCACTATAGTAGTGATGAGTCCGCTTCCAGACTGGCTCTGCTTCTTGTATGTATGTATGTTTTATTTATTCATTTCATTTCATCCAAACAACAAATATAATACAATTTAAAGAAAAGAAAAAAGATATACAATCACAGAAATAAAATGAAAGGCAGCAGAAGAAGAATGAGTTCTTATAATATCTGCCCCTTGTCCCCAAAATATATTCCAAACGAAATTACTATACAAAAGCAAGATGAATTAATAATTAAAAAAAATAATAATAAAAAAAACTTAGCTAAAATATAAGATCAACTGTAAACAATTTTTATGAACTCACATTATACTTAATATTTGTTTAAAAAACAAAATTTTATCATCTTCTTGAATATGTACATAGTTTTGGCATTTTTTTCATGGGGCGGGCGCAGCGGACTATTCATCCAATCATGGCCGTTGTTCTGAGGCAAACGCAAACACGTCACTCGTAGGTCACATTTAGAACAGAACGATTGACTGGAATTTCCAGCCAATCGTGCATCTGTTTGCGGACACAGATGCCTTCAGGGTTCACAAAAAAACTCCGACTGACAGTTGCGAGAGGCTGATGACAACCGATTACAACCACACATTCACGGAATGGTCCAATGATCGTATATTTGGCCTTTTTTTTTGGATTATTGATCGTACAGAGGGCAAAATTGTCGTACAAATACGATAATTATCGTACACCTGGCAACACTGAGCGTGCCGCTCCGCTTAAACGCATTACGCATTTACTCAGGTGGAAGAAAAAGTAGTTCCCTCCAACCACGTATCATTTAGACAAGAGCTGAACAATTTAGTTACTTTCCACCATCTTCATGTTAATGATATGCATTACCTGAAACATCAAAAGTATCGATGGTTTGATTTAAACATCGACTTTAGAGCGGAACGTTATGGTATCGTTAGTGTCGATATTTTAGTATCGATCCGCACATAACTAATTAAAGGGGCGCTGTGGGGGCCGAAATAGTGGTTTGTTGCCTGAAGGCAGCACCATGTCATAGAGGGTTAAAATCATGTCTTCGATTAAAGAAAGAGCCGCGGCCTTGAATCTGGCAGAGAAACTGTGTGCGCGTTCTCAAGGTGAGTTAATTGGAGCACGTGCTCAAACTCCCTGACAGCTCAGGAGGACTAGTCAATCCATGTTGATTCGGGAGTGGTTTTTTTTTTCTTCTCGTTTTTGTCATTTTCATACATTTAAAAATCTTTTGCATTTACTCATGTATTTATTACAAATTTTCACATTAGAAAAACAGTTTGTTTTATTCTGCCTCTACTTGCTCGTTTTTTATGCTACTTTTAGCTCCTAGCCTTTTGCCGCTTTTAGCTAGTGTTCTGTCACATTTAGCCCTTTGCCACTCTTAGTTTTCGCTAATGTTCTACTTTTAGCTTTTAGTCGTATTTTGATACTTAAGAGCTAAAGTTGTAACCTTTTGATGTTTTTATCTTGTAGCAGCTACTTTTAGAACACTACATTTAGCTATGTTTAGCTTTTAGCCATCATTTTGCTACATTTAGCTGAAGCTCTTGTACTTTTGGCTAACCTTTTGGTGCTTTTAGCCAGCATTTTTCTACTTGGCTTTTAACTAACTTGTAAATGAGTCCTCGAGGCTCAATGAGATTTACCTGTCTAAATAAAGGTTGAATGAACTAGCCTTAAGATGCTTTTAGACTTTTTTTGCTATGTTTAGTTATCATTCAACTACTTTTAGCTTCTAGTCTGCATTTTGCTACTTTCAGCTAAAACTCTAGTTATGTTGGCTATCTTTTTGCCATCATTTCCCCATTTTAACTTGAAGGCAGTGTTTTTCTACTTTTTTAGCTGTCTTTTTGCGACTTTAGCTAGTCTATGATGCTTTTAGCTGCGATTTTAAAACTTGCACCACCATCATTTTGCTACTTGCTTAGCTGTAGGTTCTGGAGTTCCCACCAAGCCTGTGCAGTCGGCTTCTATATGGAGCAGCCTCATCGCCCACCTCAGGTTCTCCGTGACGGTGAAACGCAGATTAGTCCACCTGAAGTCCCACAGCGACTGTTTCCTGGGCTCGGAGGCCGTGGATGTCGTGGAAGAACACGTGGCTAACGCCAAGGGCCTCGAGGGTGAGTCCCGTTGTTTGTTCGGTAATCTTTTCTTTTCGACTGAAGACCCTGAGCTGTCACGTTTGATCGAAGGTGCGAGTGTGTCCCGGGACAAAGCGGTGTGCGTTTGCCAGGCGCTGCTACAGTGCAATGTGTTTGAGGCGGTGGAAACAAAAGTGTTCGGCAAAAACAAGAAGCAGGACGTGTTTCAGGACAGCAGGAGTGCTCTCTACAGGTGAGACACAAACATGTTGAACTCCGTACGGTAGACGCTGCTGTGTTCCTACTGTGTTTATGTTCAAACTCAGGTTTGTTGGCTCGTCCACACCTTCGGTTGACGATCTGGAAAGAGGCGTGCTCGGCAACGGGATCCAGAAGTTATTTTGCGGGACATCTTTGGACAGGTATTTAATTAAATGTTTCCATTTTTTTACCAGGGTTGTGACCCCACAACCCATAAAAGGAAGAAGCGGGTAAAAGATAATGGATGGATGCATGGATGTGTCGGTACAGATGCTTTGAGTGGTTCGGTAACAAATTTTGTCAGTCACAGATGATCGCTGCAACCATCTAGAATTGGGCACGTTTGCATTTCGCTATCAGCTCTGACAGAAACTACATCAAACAAAAGATGACTTTTTGCTTTAGAATAACTCGGAAGCTTAAAGACCTGCTTATTAATCTGAGTAATCGCACTGAGAGGAAAAATTTAACAAATGACTGAGGCTCATTGTATAAGTTGTATAGATTTATTTAGGCACAAATTTAATCTAAAGTTGTGCTTTTTGTTAAATCTGTGAGTCGATTACAGGTCTCATGACTTAAGTTCACTGAAGTTTAATAGTTCAAGCTCCCAGCTGTCTGGCTCTTTGTGATATCTCAGACAGGAAGAGCAGACGTGTTCAGCCGAGCTTCACGTTGACGGGTCCTTCCCCGACACGTCCACCAAGACCAGCCGGCTCGAGGCTCGCTTCGCTGCTAATCTGACGGTGGGCCCTCCGGTGGGCAGTCTGACCCCCAGCAGAGTGCAGACCCACTCCAGTTTACCGCAATCGCGTAAGAAAACCGGGTGAACACTTTCCTATTTTTCATGCCTGCAAACATTCGCCAATTTCAACCTGAAATATTTCATTAACATGAATCATGTAGATCCAAATAGGGTTGTTTTTTTTGTTTCGGGCTGCGGGTTGGGGGGGGGTCAAAGGTGTGGTGGATGGCTTAATTTCCCTTTAAGAAACAGTGTTCCTCCTCAGTCACTTAGCTTAGCAGGGCGCTCATCTCTTCTGTGGGGTTTGTCGGGGAGCAGAGGTGGAGATACTTTTGTGTTGCTCACTAGCTTAGCGCTACGTTAGAGCAGGCAGTTGTCGACGGGGGGGGGGGGGGGGTTAGAATGTGTGAGACAAGCAGAGCACTATGTCTGTAGCATCTAAGCTAACGCATCTGTATTGTGCGCTGCCTTCTTACGTTAATGTTTGAACGATGTCGCTGCCGCATACACCAAGATTTTGCCCGAAGATTTGAAAAGTCCACCTGATGGTGGTGATGGAGAATACTTTGATGGAGAAATGTGATGTTGGGGAGAATGAATCCAGGTAACACAAGTTTTCTGGAAATTAAAATTGGTCAAATCAGTGTATGGGGAAGGAATAGTGGATTTAATAATTAAATATAGGTTGACAAAACTGTTTTTTTTTTTTTGTTTGTTTTTGTCACGATTTGCTTGGCACAGTGTAATTTTAATGTGAAGGCTGCATGATGCCGTGTCATTTTTTGTTATGAGTAGGACTATCACTAAATCAGAAAACGTTAAAATGCCCCTTAAATTCACTGTTGGTGGTGATCAAAATGTTCATTAGGTAAACTTAGTATTCTTATTTTTTAACATGCAGTTCAGCGTCACCATTGCTTAGCACAACGGCATGTTGTGTTACAAATGAAACTCAATCAGAAATAAACTAAATAAAATTCAAGTGTGCCCCTAAAGTTTATGATAAATTGTCACATTAATTTAATTATTTTAGCCTTAGGAGTGAATTTAAAAACAGGATGATGCATACATGGACTAGCTGAATGAGGAGTCTTTCTCATATAGTTGTTCATCAAGTGTTGACATATGTATGTAAATGTAGGTGTTTAACAGCTCGTTAAAATTCACCAGAATGCAGGAAATGGAATCTACTTTATTCAAAATTTTCTTATCAAAAAAGGGGTCTGGACCCCCAGACACCCCCACCCTCATCAGTGGGTCCCCCAACATTACAAATACTTCTGATGCCAGTGGGCATGAACGAGGCACCTGGCCAAGCAGCTGAAACGGCCCTTGATAGGACTGTCCAGGCAAAAAGATTTAAGAAACGAGTTTTTGCTTTTTGCAGAATGCTATATTTGGTTCCTCTGGGTGGCTTGCTGCTGTTTATTTATTTTTTTTTGTTGACACCATCTTTCCTTGTATGTCCTAATTAAATTAGGATATGTTAGTGAATGTCTTTTTACCTAAAGCATGATGTCTTTTGCTCTAATTTCCTTCTTGGAGTATAACAGAACGATTAATTTACATGTTACAAGTCACAAAATCTTCTGGGGATGTGTATGTGCCGTTAGGTTTGTCACCGTTTTCTTCCTTTCTGAGTTTGCAGGTATGATTTTTACTGCAGCGCACGTAGATTTATTTGAGCTGGGAGGTGAGGCGGACCTGCTTTTAACTTTCAGATCACATTGTAGGGAACCTTTGGGTTTTACTGATCATTAGATACAAGCTACTGACTAGTTGATACATTTTAGGATAACCTGTTTTAAGTTTGATTTTATACTTTTGAACTGATCTGTTTTTCTGTCAGTGGTGAAGGAGGTCTGGCAGGAGCAGACTTTGTCCAGGCTGTTAAAGCTGGTAGAGCTCTCTCTGCTGGAAGGAGTGCTGCAGTACACGTCATCTCCTCCTGCAGAGAGCCTGGTGGCTCACGGTAACCCCGACCTGATCTACAGCAGCAACCACCTGGACCGGCAGATCCTCAAGGCCTTCAGGAACTCCCAGTACGTTCTGTCTTTACGCTCGTTAGCTTCTTCACCTGTGGAAGTAACTTTAGTCACGTCAGTGAGGAGTTAACAGGGATTTATAGCAGAAAATACTGCAAATTGAAACGATTTTTAAATGTTTTGGTTAAACAATGTATCTTCAGGCCAAAACAAATCTCACTCTATTAAATGCTCACATTAACGGACCCCCCCCCCCCTTTTTTTTTACCATAAATAATTGAAGTCAAAATTTGATTGTCAAATCAGCTCTCATCTTTAGATCAACGTCCCTTCCCCAAACTCGCTGATGTCACTTTAATAATGCACGTGGAGCTGAAGGGTGCAAGGTAGCTTTTAATTCAGTTTACAAAGTGGGATTAACGTGTCATCTCGTTTTTTTTATACACCACGGATGATGAAAAGGAAAATAATTCATGCCAGCCAGTTTTGGCTCTAAAATTGTTTCCTCTCTGAGAAACTAATTATATTGACTCATACTTATTTTAATAAAAGGCTTTGATTTAAATGAAGTTGTTATTTAAAGGGAAATTAGAACATCAGCGTGCTGCTTGATTCAAACCCCTGCTGCTCCGTTTGACTCGTCACCTTTCTGAATGAATTGCAACGTGTTTCTCTGTCTCTCGTATTCCTCTCAGGGAGGACGAGTGGCTTTGTGCAGCCCTGGACCTTTTGGACTTCCTCCCCGACCAGCTGGTGGTGGAGATGAGCAGAGAGCTGCCTCACGGTTTCCCTCAGGAGGAGCAGGAGAGCCGCGGTGTACAACCAGCAGGCGGCAGCGTCCGACGGAAAGACGAGTGTTTCAGTCTGGGTAAGAATCAGTCAGAGATCCTGTTTAACAGCCAGCTTCAATCTTACAACTCCTTAACCAGACAGTTTCAGAGGTTTCTGTTGATTTTTATCTTGAAGTTGCTTTTAATTATTAGCTGTTTTTAGCTCCTTTCTGACAACTTTCCCACTCTGTTGCACCATAAATCTATTTTTTCTTATTATTGTAGAGTGAAATTGTTTACAGAGCATTTTGTTTTAATCAAAATGTCATCTGTTGTTTAAAGTTGCTGTTGCATTATTGAACTTAAATTTACTGTAAAGCTATAAACTAGTCACCTGATAAAGGCGTTTATCAACATCAGTGCATAATGTCCTTAAAATCCTCTCTCAGACTTCTTGACAGCCAAATAACTTATTTTGTCACCCACCACTCGAAAGCAAAAGTTGTGCTAATGTTTTGGCCTGTTTGAGTTTGTCAGTAGTGTTAGCAAAATATCTCATGAACTACTAGTTGTATTTTAATTAAACTTACAGGAAGGAATCATTGTAGGAACATCTAAAATTAAATAATTTTTGGGATCAAAATGGGAAGAGAAGCGGAGTGCTACGTCTGTAGCTACTTGGCTAGAACATCTGTATTGTGCGCCGCTAGCTTAGCTCTACATCAGTGCCGGCAATTGGGGGTGCAGCGGGTGACGTGTATTCCTTCAAGTGAAGCTGAGTCTTAAATTATTGGATTTTTTTGTGAAAATATCTCTTTGAGAGTCTCTGTGGTAAAATACTTGCACACCTTGTGATCCTCGGTGCAGACTTGTGCATAACTTGAATGTCAGCAATGCAGAACTGAAATCCCGCCCCCCTGTCGGCTGCAGGTCCCAGCAACCAGGGGCAGACGGGTCCGTCTCAAAGCGGCCCGGTCCAGTGTAAGCCGCTGCTATACGAGACTCTGGTGAAGCACTACAGCAACGCGAGCCGGCCTCCCCTGCTGCCTCAGTCCTTGACGGACATCTACATGGCCATAACTGACCTGCTGGGTATGAAGACAGCGTCTGTAGTCCTAACAGGACTGGAGCCTCTCTCTACTTTGCTCTGTTTTTGTTTTCCAGTGAAAGCCAAGCTGGATAAGGCTCTGGAGGCTCTGCAGCTGTGTTTGAAGCTGCTTCCTCAAAGCAGCAGAGAGGAGCTGCGCAGGTTGCTCACCTTCATGTCTCTGGCAGCTGATCCACAAGGACTAAAAGTGGACAAGGAGGTGAGATCTACTGCAGAGTTTAATTTGATCCAGAGATCCATCTCGTGCTCTCAGTAATCCGTGGCGTTTGAAGGTGGACAACCGAGTGGCAGTGAAGAAGTCGTTTTCCAGGGCGTTGCTGTCCAGCAAGACTCTCTCAAAGGAAAAAGAGGATCTTCTGTTGGTTTTTATGCTGAGCAACATTAATGAAATCTTTAAGGTAACTTCCATAAATGTATTATTAACTCGACAGTTAATCCACTTGTTCTTTAAACCGATAGAACCGCCAGTTTGGAATCGAAGGCAGGAGTTTAAGCAAATATCTCACACTTTGGGTAGCAGCCTGAGTATATGGTGAGGATGTCTCTGAGCTACAACCCCATCAAAGTTTGGATCAAGTCTGTAAAACTGACCGTTATGGTATTTTAGGGTGTTTATAAGGTCAGCTGGCTGCGGTCGCCATCTTGATTCCTGTTGTTTCAAAAGTTAATAAGTTGTAGATGTCCATCCAATGATTATTGCCCGAAAGTTTATTTTTATTTTTATTTTATCTGTGTAACTGAGCGATCAAAGCACGTTGGCATAATTAAATATTTTCTTCTTCCTGTTTCAGATACCAGGGTCCCTTCACAAAGGAGTGAGTGAGAAACTGGCCAGGCTCGCTCGGGGTGAACAGCCCGATGTGACGGGTAAAACAACGAATCCTGACGCAGCAGCAGTTTCCAAAACTTTTAAGATGGATCAAATCAAAGTTTGTTTGGTTTTAGAAACAAATCAGGGAGACTAAATCATCTTAATTCTACCTACAAAAAAAACAAACAAGATAGTGTTTTTCATTAACACTTCAGGTTTTAATTCTTCTGGTATTTCAGCCGATTTTCATGTTGCAGTATTGGTTTCAGTCAAATATTTTTACATACTGACAGGTTGCAAATGATTTTTTTGCCCAGGACGTCCTTGTAAAAGAGATTAATAATCTCAATGGATTTCTGTCCTGGTAAAATAAAGGTTTTTAAAAAAATTATTGTTATGCTAACTTAAAATGTCTGCAATAAAAGAGTAGAGTAAGTCAAAGTTGTTTTAAACCATTGTTTTTAATCCAACTCTTTAATGACTACCTCCACCAAATTGTACTTTTGCAGCTGTAGTCACTTGTCTAGTAATGAGTTTGTGCAAGTTTCATTAAAATCTATCCTGTGGTTTGTGAGATATTTTGCTAACAAGACAGGCAAACCCATTATCGCCTATCGGCAGCTAACATCGTGGTGTTCTTTTCTTCTCCTCTGTCCATCAGGTTCTGCATTCAGTCCTCTGGTCTCCAGCAGGACTTACACGGACTCCACAAAGAAGACCACGAAACAGGAACTGTGGCTGCTCCTAAACGACATCAATCTGGACACAAAGAGACCCACTAAGGAGAGAAAGCGCCTCCTCAAACAGTTTTACCAAGCCCACCCAGAGATATTTATTCAGTATTTTGGAAACTCTGCTGCCACAGAGTTGCAGACCCATGAAAATTTGGTTTAATCTGTTTTTTACTTTTTTTTTTTTTGGTTGTAAAAGTACAGTAACTGACTCCTAACTCAAAAAAAGGTGCTGTAGTTTAGAGGAATGATGTTTAGGTTTGAAGGGTAGCGATAAATAATATAGCCAGATGCGCACCAGGCAAATACTGTGTATATACCAGGTGCATGCCCTGGTAAGTCGGGTACATAACAAAAACTTGCCAAGTAAATGTTTGGTACATACCAGGATAAATGCTGAGTACTTACTAGGTACACACCAGGTAAATGTTTAGTACATGCCATGTAAATGCTTGGTACTTACCAGGTATGTACCCAACATTTACCCGGGTACATAACAGTTTTGCTCCTGATAAATGTTACATACCAGATATGCTCTGGATAAATGTCAAGTATGTTCCAGATAACTGTTGGATATATATCCTTTATGCACTTGGAAATGTTGGTACATACCAGGTACGTGTCAAGTAAAAATTGGGCACGTGGCTGGTCTGGTATTTGTCAAGTGGGTCATGGGTATGTCGAGTAAGTAGGTACTTTAGGTAAATATCAGGTAGGTGGGTACTTAACAAATAGGTTGGTGGCTAAGTACTTGGTTACCCAGTAAAAAAAAAACAAGTACCAGGCAGGTGCTACCCATCTGGTGCAAGTACTCACCTACCTGTTAAATCATTAAGTACCTATCTACTGAGTACGTACTTGCCTACAGAGTAGGTGCGTAGTTGTGGACCATTTTGTGTCGTGTGCATCTCATCAAAGTTGTAAAGCTGCGCAGCAGAATTTTGGCTCTGTTCAGCTCAGGCAGTCTCTAGACTGGTGATAATTTTGATAAAATTTTGTTTTCTGAAATTGGTAAAGAAAAAGGGTGATCTTAAAATTCAGCTAATCTTTGCATCCTACGCCAACGTTACTTTTTACGGTTCAGTTGAGTGAACTCGGATCTATACGGCTGGTTGTCTTGGTCGTTTAAATGCCCTCAGTTTTTCAGTGTTACTTTTGAGACAGACTGTAAACGGATATGAAAAATGTCTCCAGTTTTTTTGTTGTTAAATAAAATAAATGGATGTTTTTTTCTCAAAAAAAATTAAAGGCATTTTAATTGTTTAAAAGAAAAGTTCTCAGAGGTGAGTGTGTCCTGCTGGGGTCGGGGTTCCTAATGTCTTAAAGTGTAATTTTGTTTTTCCAGAGTAACATGCAAAAAAGGAAAATCTAACACATCCTGTTGTATTTTCTATAAGAAATTTCTAAAAATTGTTCAGAATAGCATGTGAATTTTCCGCTTGAATTAAGAAGAGGTCTTCATAGTATTCACACTTAGTTCCTCTGCAACATGAGTTATTTTTTATTTTTCTGATGACCATTTTTTTTTTCTCAAAATGTTAGAAGGGCACCAATAGTAAAATTGCTAGGTATTTGTCATTTACTTATTTTTTTAAAGTCGGAAATCTGTAAAATTATAACAACTGCAAGACAGCTTGCATTTACAAAAAAATAATGTGTGTATGTGTGTATATATGTATATAAATGCATAACTATATATAATGTGTGAGTAGATAGATTCAAAAATATAATGTATACATTATCATACATAAATGTACACACACTATGTATATATACAGTATATCCATTATCTTTTACCTGCTTCTTCCATTTTGGGTCACGGGGGTCGCCAGTGTTTATGTCCAACAATCACTGCGTGTGGCGGGGTTATACAGTGTGTGTGTGTATATATATATATATATATATATATATATATATATATATATATATCTTCAATTCAAAAATACTTTAATAATCCCAGCATAATAGACCCAGCAGACCTCTCGGTCCTCTTGGGCAGCATTACCTGAATGCCAGGCAGAACTCCCTGAGTGATAGCCATTCCTCCCAGCAGCGTGCCGAGCTCATATCATCTAACAAAACTGAAGGTACCGGGGGATGATCTCGGTCCTCCTGCTGTCATGAGCCACGTTTCCTGCCACCTCCAAAATATCGGCGATCAGGCACTTGAGCAGCACCTCCAAGTAGATGGGAATGCATCCACAGCACCTCCTTTTCAACTTATTTGGGATTTGGGCTGTAGTTGAGGTAACATTTCAACTTTTGAGATGTTAATTAGCAACTTCCAGTTGTAGAAAGCCACCTTGTTATGGTTACGCATCATAACAAATGTCCAAAATTAAAGGCTTCAATAAAAATCCTTACAGCTGCACAGCATCCAAAACCAGAGGAAATAATCATCCAAAAAAGCTATTTATATCCAGGAAAAAAAAGTAAAGTTTGCAAAAGCAAAATCTCAGAATGAATGTAAGAGAACTACTCCAACATGTAGCACCTTGAGCGGTGCAATTCTAGAATCTATCTGGAATTTTAAATATGTATATATATATATATATATATATAGCTGTTTTTGCTACTTTTTTTGCCATCTTATTTTAAATTGTAAAAAAAAAAAGTTTGTCTCGTATGATTGTTGCTTTTGTCAATTGTTGTCATCATTCTTTGTTGAAATCAGGTCTCTTGTAAATGAGTCCTCGAGGCTCAATGGGATT